GAGACAGACATAACAGAGAACCGACGAAAAAAAAACGAATCGTTTCTCTCTCTCTCACACACCTACACGTGGCCACAAGATACGGCCTCTTCTTGATCTACAATAGCACACGGTTTCAACTTAATTATGTGTTTTTCATTTATTTTTAAACAACAATTACCTTAAAAACCCCCTTAAATACGCGCGATGAGGATGCTCTAAGACAACACTCTCTATTATCTACTCATGCATGAAGTAAACATACCAAACAATCTTATATGTCCTGTTTTTTTTTTTTTTTGAAACTCTTATATGTCCTGTTTATAATGAATTTTTGGACATATATTTGATTCATTTCACAGGGAGTTATTATAGTCTATTTAATTCCCAGTGTTGTGGGAGTTAGTTGAATCGACAATACTTGTCCCTTTTTGCCAATTTGCATTAAAAACTTAAGATAAGATGTGGTTTTTAATATTTCTTTTTGTTATTTGTCTACTATATTAAATTTCCTTATCTCATGAGTCGTGTGCAATAATTTGGCACAATTTTCTTGTTTGTCTGCAAATTGTTTCCTTGGAGTTGGGATAAATCCAATTTTTGGCCTTTTCTAATAATTCAAAACGCAATGTGACACTTAACAAAGTCCCTTATTGTCATATAATTAAGTTGATTAGGGGCCTTACATTATGATTAGGTAAAATCTGCTTCATTCCAGTTTATTTCACCTAACTGAAACTTTTTTTTTTTTGAGAAAAACCTAACTGAAACTTTTTAGTTTAAATCAGTGGTTTGTCTTCTTATTCTTTTAATTAGAGTAATGCGTTGAGCCAAAACCACGATCAGCCAAACAATTAAACTTATTTACAAGATCACAATTTAGTTTTATATAAATTTATGGAATGTATGGTAAATAAGATCAAATCATAAATTGTCTCATTCGAGCGAATTTGTAGTGTTTAATTCACATAGCATGTTCATATTTAGTACTTAGTACGTTTGATTGCGCCTTAGACCAAACTATAGACATAGTATTTAACTAACTTTGATAGACCTCTTCGAATGTTTGATATTCTGGTAAATAAAATCATTATGTTAACAGAGTTTAGAAC